GAAAGGGCGGCGGGAGCGGCCCACGCGTGTCCGCTGTCCCGCGGGGAGATGCGCAGCTCGGGGCTGCACCCCGGGGGCTGGGAACCGGCGCGTCCCGGCGGGCATCCCTGCGCCTCCCAGCCTGGTGACACAGGGAGACACTGTACGCTGCGGAGCCGTGGGCACCCACGGATGACACCAGCCAGGGTCCCACGGGTGGTGGTTCACCCCGGGCTTCCCAGAGCAGCTCTGGCTGCGCCAGCCTGGCTGGGTCACGGCACTGCCAGCAGGCACGGGACTGCCTGTGGCCCGGCGGCCCATTTGGGTTACACAGAGAGGCCCTGCGGACGTCCGAAGGCTGCACCGAGGCTGGCTGAGAGCCTCTGTTAACGGGACCACGCTGCAAAGGGAACGGTGGCCAGAAGGACCAGTCAGTCAGCACCAAGCCCTGCCTCTGCTCTGGTCTGCGAGCCCCCAGAAGGACCGGGTTAAACAGCCCCTCGAAGGTCCTCCAAAAAGTGGCCTGGAGCGGAGAACAGCCAGGGACCTGGCCCATTCCTGAGCTGGCGTCTGGAACCGGGAAGAGCAGGGATGGGGAGCTCCTACCCTTCACCGGAGGCAGGACAGGCACTGGCCCTGGGACATCTCTCCAGGGCAGCAGGTCTTGCTCACGTTTCCTGCTCATCAGCAACCCTGTGCTGCATCCCAGTCCTGCAGTCACCAAGAGGAGCTCCCGGTCCTGTGGGCTCCCCCTCGGGAGGGTGATGCCCCCCCCTGACATCATCCCGGGGGGATTTATCTTTGGTTTGCAGGACCTCATGACACTGGGGCCAGAATTCAGCCCGCAGAGGAGCAGGCAATGGGAGAGGGAGACACCAGGAGTGTTGCTGAGAGGGATTCACCCAACCCTGGAGCAGGCAGCTGGAGCAGGGCTGCTCTGCCTGGGCACTGCCAGCGGCTCCGTCACTGCCCATGGAGAGGTAGGCGCTCGAGGACAAGGACTATACCCTGCTGTCACCGCTGGGTACTTCCCAGCGTAGCAGAGCTGTGGCAAGCGTGGAACACATGAGCAGCACTCACAGCAACACAGGTGAAGAGCAGAAATGAGCAGTGACACAAATTAATCTTCAGTTGCCATTCTCCTGCAGGGCATCACTACAAACAACAGTTAAAAAGCCAAAAAACCTGTTTCATCACTGATGCAAAAGCAATGGCCATGCCCTCCAGCAGCCTGGCCAGACCCTGCCCAGGGCATGGATTTAGTTCCTGCTGGCTCAGAAGACCAGTGACCCGCTCTGCCAACAGCTTGCCAGACTTGGGGACACCCCTAACCATGCCCCCATGCTGCTTGGATGAAATGCCAGGCATTGCCTCCTCCGGGGAGTGGGGGAGCCACGGAGGTCATTCAGCCTTCGTTGGAGGCAGCTGTCCTGCCTGCGTCCCCTCCAAAGGACAGGCTGTGCTGGGGGAGGAATCAGGAGCTGGCCAAACGCAGAGATGGGGTTGGAAACGCCGCCGAGTGCCATGCCAGGGCAGAAGTGAGCCAGGGAGAGTGCAGAGCCTTTGCCATGCCCATGATCTGGCCAGGGGGGTCACAAGAAGGTTTGCCTTTTTAATAAAAATGTAAGGAAAGAGAAAAAAGAAAGAAATAAAAGAACAAATCCCAGGAGTCAGACAGCCCAAGCTGCCACCCCGTGGCTGGTCCCAGGTTTTCCTGTGCTGGAGGAAAGGCCTGGCCTCAGCCGTGTCCCCGTGGTCCCCGGGGCCTGGCAGGAGGCAGGACGCCCCTCCAGCCCCTCTGCGGTGGTTGCTGTCGCTCACTGAGCCCCAGGTCCTTGCCACTGGGCAGCTGTCAGGCCAGGCTCCGGGGGCAGAGCTGGTGAAGGGGAGCGGTATGGACGTGGCAGCTTTGCAGC